TATCATTAATGCACCCATATAGAACTTTTCAAAAACTCAATGTTTGGAGTTTGCCCTGTACACTCCACTATTTTCATGACCTTAGTGAAGGCATCCTGAACAGAACACCGACACTATTATCTAGATAGAAATATTGTTCGTAAACAATTATATTTCTAAAACAATTTCATATTAAAACCGAAATGAAGCAACAGCTTGTATAACTTGTTTATTATGCCATCAGTTTTTATTTAAAGGAGACATATTATGCCCCTTTTTACAATATGTAATATAAGTCTCTGGTGTCCCCAGATTGTGTCTGTGAAGTTTTAGCTCATAATACCCCACAGATCATTTGTTATATAATTTTGAAAATGCATATTTTGAGTGGAAGCAGAAACATGCTGTTTTCGTGCATGTCTCTGCTAAATGCAATGAGCTTCTGCTCCCACTCCCTTTTCCATAATAGGGCTGTGCCTTTACAGTTCGTACCTCAGATACTCTGCTAAAAAACACCTGTTTGGTTTTGATTATTATGTCTATAGTGCTGAAATCATAAACCATATTAGTTTAAACTTCTGATATACAGTTTTCTGAGCACACACATCCGAAGCACACGCACAGAAAGCGGCTGTCACAGCATGTGAGTACTAAACTAAGTTCTCATTCACACACAAGTTTACGTTAAAAACACATGAGTTACAAAAAACAGCCAGTTATGTCTGTGAAGGTAAACAAGCTGGGAAATAAATCGCTTGTTTATTTTAGATCTGTGTGGCAGCAGCAATATACAGTAAATAAATCAATAAATCCACTGCTGTCTTGTCTCCTCTGAGGCTGGGACTGTAAACAGTGTTCTGTGCTCATCTGTGCAGCCAAAGGCAGAACAGTTAGCGTGTTTTGCTCAAACCTTCGCCATGGCATTAGAACTGGTACACCGTTGTCCCTTGAAAAATCAAAATGACGGCATCGTGGGTGGAAACTTACAGATTAAGGGGCGGAAATATTATAATGAGATCCCTTTGCAACGTCACCAAGGGAGCGAAATCAGACGCGCTCGTTTTCTCAGACGCTTGCAGAAAAAGGCTTCCCAAAGCAAAGTTACTGGGTTAATCTTTTTCACATTTCCTTGGTTGGTAGATGCACCGGGGACCTGATTATAGCACTTAAAACCTGGAAAAGTAAGATTTTCATATGTTACCTTTAAATAGAACCTGTCTGACAAAGTGAAGCATGCTTAAAGAGCAGCAAATCA